GACAAGGACACAAAGAAAATCAAGTGTGTTTCTTCTAATATATTCAACCATCACCTGGCAGGGAAGAAACAGCTCAATGGTAATCTCAGTTCTGGGCACCACTGTCAAGACAGAAAAAGTTATGGGCATCCACTCTCTACCCCATATAGTAATGGGGAAAGTAGTGTGCAGAGTGAAAAAGTCTTTATCAATGAGGTTAGCAATAAGGTTTCTAGTTACAGCCTTTGAGAGCCAGGGACAACATTTTGTTTTATTAAGTGTTTATACACCCTGTGTGTCCAAAACAGAGGCGTGGGTTAGGATGATGTGGTATATTCACAACACAACGCAGTACTATACTGCTGTCATAAACGATTAAATCTTGCCATTTGCAACAACATGGATAGAAAGGGAGGGGATTATAAGTAAGATAAATCAGATTGAGAAAGACAAATACCAGATGATGTTACTTATATTCAAAATATAGAGAAACAAAACAACAGGTCACAAAACACCAAACCAGTAACAAACCTTAGAAATCTGACCGCAGAACTGAGGCTACTACACAGGGAGGAGGGAAATAAAGTGTGGAGGCCCCCCAGATTATGGGGAGATTCCAAATGCCTTGGGGAGGGTGTGGTGTAGTAACATACACCACAGGGTGTAATGCGGTACCTTTGACTCATACCGTGGTGAACACCAGTATTATCTCGAAATTTTTTTTTAAATAATGATTTTATGTTGGAACATTGACCGTACTTTACTCTCTCCATTCTACTTCCTATCTTACAAAACCCACTACTCTACTGCTCCATAATTTGTTCTCCATACTAACTGTTCTTAAAATAAATTTGTGGCCCTCCCTGGTGGCGCACCGGGCAAGGACGCACGCAGCCCTGCAAGCTGGCCTCAGCTGCTTCAGTGCGGGTTCAATCCCCACCCCGGAGGTGACCACATGGCGCGGCAGACCTCTCCTGACCCGCCCGCTGCTCCCCTCAGCAGTGTACTTCGTCAGTCGGCCTGTTCTGCTCCTCACTGTCTCTGGTGACTCCTCTCACCCCACTTCCCAGCCTCCCCCGTACCTCTCACCTGTACCCCAGTCCTGGTCTCCCCAACTCTGTTTAGCTCTATCTTAAACAGCTGGTCTCCGGCTCCTGAGGGGTAATTCCAGACCGCATACCACCGAGCCCCGCCTCTTAGAGAAAAGCCTCCCACACGGTCTTTCCTAGAGGACTGGCTCCCAGAGTCACGACCCTCAGCTAGTCACCTTGAATGTGGACAGGTCAAGGATGCAAGCAAGGAATGGGGGCCAGCAAGGGCCCTGCCAACATAACACCTGAACTCTCTGAGGTGGGAACACTCCCTCTTACAGACCCAGCGCCTTATACACCTGCTTCAAGCAAATAATCACCACATTCTGACCACCCTGAACCCCGACAGTCATCACAAACCAGTAGCGGAAAATAGGGTAGGCGGTATGGAACGAATCGAGGTAACAAAGAGGCGACAGAGAAAGTAATTGCTTCAAGGAATATCTCTGCACAGCAAGCCGGGCACAGGGGCCCTCCCCAGCCTCGCGTCCCTGCAGCAGGAGCCAAGAGGTCCACCTGCCTGTGAACATTTCACCGGCCCTGCAAACCAAGGTCAGGGAGGGCCCAGAGCCAGGGCTTGGATGTGGCCTAGAAGGGCCCTGAGGTGTATGGGAGTGGGAGTAGAAGGGAAGGAGGATGGACAGAGGCCAGGCTGCCTGCATCACCGCATCTTGGCGTGGAAGTTCCAGGGCTGTGAGAATTTTAAATCAGCGTTGGCCTTCAAGGTGATTATTATGAAGGTTTAACAGTCAAGACAAAAGATAACAATATTTCATTGAGTCGCTTGGTTAGTTTTTTAATATTTCAACACCATGGTGTAGGGTTCTTCATTTCCAACATGTGTGGTTTTTCATCTGCAAAAAAGAATTTTGGAAATATTGTTTGCTGAAGGAGCTCCTGCAGTTGTGAAACTATAAACTGGGAGTTTTAAGGCATCTAATAAGATCCCAAGAGGTAAAGTGGGCAATAAATACTATTCACAACATAAAACCAGTGAAGCCGTTCCTGGAAATACATTTCTCTGCTCTCACAAGTGAGAGAAAGCAAATCTTGAGCAAATTGAAGCCACCAGCCGCCACTTGTCAAAGTAGCTTGACCCCTATCGGAGCAACAGTGATCGCAGAGGGCGGACTTGCTCAAAATTAGCACGATCTGTGAAAACAGCCCCTTGCTGGCCTTCTGTCCGACTGGTGCAGAGACGCTCACAAATTAAGCCACCACTCAGCTTGGGCTAAATGCACACTGGGGATTAAGCCCTTGCCTTGACCACCGACACATGCCCTTTCTATGGTGCCGCGAAGCCTGGGTTTACCCCAAGGAAACAACAGGCAGAGGGCACAGACCAAAGCCCCTCCCTGCAGAATGGGAGTAAGTGGCCAGGGCGAATGAAAAGAACGTCTTAGTCACTGCAGCGGAGTCACTGAATGGAAACAAGCAATGGTTATTCTATCGGTGAGCGCAAGATGAGTGGTTATGAAGCTAACTGCAACTCGGTAAAAATTCACTCCGTTGGCCCTCCCTGGTGGCGCAGCGGGTTAAAGCACAGCACTGAGAATCTAAAGCCGCTTCCGCATGAGTTCGATTCCCGTCTGCCCCGGAGGTGACCACATGGCGTGGCAGACCTCTCCTGACCCGCCCGCTGCTCCCCTCAGCAGTGTACTTCGTCGATCTGCCTGTTCTGTTCCCCGCTCTGTCTCTGGTGAAGCCTCTCGCCGCCCCTGAGCCTCTGGCCTGTACCCCAGTTCTGTATGCACAAATAAATAAATCTTTAAAAAAAAAAAATTCTCTCCGTTATGATTTCATAAATGAAACACTACATTGAATGAAATAAAGATGCACTCAAAATTCACAGGCCAACACAGGGTGCAGTTCTGAGTAAAGTCTCTCATATTGTAAGAAAAAGGAAAGGAGAGAGAGTAATATTATGAAAGCGGAAGGAATTACTCTTCCTCAAGATTATCTACAACATTATTGTAGAAATATTCCTCTTCAAGATTATCTACAACATTCCCTCCACTGTACTGCTGAGAACCAAATGCTAAAGAATGTTACTTGTCCAAGATCACAGACCTTGCTAGGAAGAGAAACGACACTGAAACATCCTCAGCAAACAAGCCACAGTCCTGCTCTCCATTCTCTCTAGCACTGTTTACTTTGTCACAGGAGAGATAGCACTGACATCAGACAGGGCCAGGGAACATGGCTTTCAGAACAATCACGAGTCAGATCAGGGTGGGGCTCCCTGGGCAAGAACACAGGAGTGACAACATTTGAGGATTGCTGTTCTCAACACACTACTCAAGTAATGTCAGTCAAGAAGAATGAGGGCCCTCCCCGGTGGCGCAAGGGGTTAAACTGCAGCACCATGAAGCCATCCGCAGCAACTGTGGCGTGAGTTCGATCCCCGGCCAGGAAGCTGACCCACAGTGAAGCCGTTCCTGGAAATACATTCCTCTGCTCTCACAAGTGAGAGAAAGCAAATCTTGAGTAAATTGAAGCCACCAGCCGCCACTTGTCAAAGTAGCTTGACCCCTATCAGACCTCGCCTGTCTCCCCTCGGCTCCCCTCAGCAGTGTATTTCAGTAGATCCACCTGTTCTGCTCCCCACTGTTGCTGGTGGATCCTGTCACCCCACATCTCTGGCCTGGACCCCAGTTCTTGTGTGTATAAATAAATCTTTAAAAAAAAAAAACAAGAATGAGTAAGTTTTGGTGAAGAACATATTTAAACTCACAGTTCTAAATTAAGCCATAAACGACCAACAACCGCAATACCAACAACGTCCCACGGAGAGCGTGAGATCTCGAACACAGCACAGGCCTTTCCAAAGCCAGAGTCCAGCTGCATCCATGAGGGGTCACAGCAAATAACTCTGGGATTCTCCTTCATTGTCTGTCCACAGCCTCCCCTTACAGACCCAACGGTCTCTATTTCAGCACAGAAATGAGTATGGAATTAATTCACGAACTTTTCCAGCACCATCTTCTGAGATATATTTTCACCACTGACGTTTTAAATACAATATAAAAGAAGATGGGCAAATTCTACTATCCTTCCAGAGCAGTCACAAAATGTCTCATTCTTGCTAGAATACACAAGCACACCCACACACCGCCCTGAAAAGGAAGGACTTAGGGAGATGAATGCTTTATTTTGTTGGTAAAAACAACAGTGTCGGGAGAGAGTGTATGGGACTATGGTGAATGGCCCACGGGTGAATTGGTGATTGGTCCACGGGGATTATAACAGATGGAAAAAGGCACAAAATGATGTAAAAATAAACTATAAATAATAATAATAAACTGTCGGAGACGAGTACAGTTGATGACTAAATTCTTACAATGCACCCACTCCTAAAATCTTTTCCTGTGTATATTCTCATTGGCACTTAAAATGCCTTTTATATTTGTTTAAAAGAGAAAGGAAAAACTAAAAGAATTAGGCTGTACAATCCTTTTAGTATCCTCCATCCAAGATTATCAGTCAAGCACCAAATTTTGAATTAAAGGAAATTAACAGGTATTGTTTCAAATTATTTCAGTTCTGCAAAGCTCTCCCAAGGCTAACACCTAACATGCTCCAGTCCTCCTTCCACCTATTTTCATCCAAAACCTAAAGTCACAGGATATATATGATGTTGTTGATTACAAAAGCATACAATATGTTTAAGAATTCTTCTTAAAAAGGAGCACATCCAGAATAGTTTTATCTGAAGGAGTGTGGTTGTCAAAGTATACCCCACTCCCCGCCAGGCAGATAAAATCCAGGCGTCTCATAAACATCAGGAACACACATACGGCTTAGCAAAGCATTCCCATCGCATGCCATTTATAACTGACGTGTACTTCTCCAGCCCCATCGATTCATAACTAGGCTGCTCCCTGTCTCCATCTGCTCCGATGCAACTGGAACCCCCAGTATAAAACCCACCTTTAAACAGCCGCAGAAAAAATTACCCTGAGGATAAGACGGGTTCATTTTCTTCTGAAGCTTCACGCTTTCAAGAGTCGCTTTTGATTTTAGCTTTGTTTTCTTCGTAACTAAATCAGCACAAACACCACTGTTTGCAATGGCTTGCACTGGGTGTGGATGTGCTGTGAAAATGCACTTGGAGAATTCCACCGCAGAACTACCGGCAAAGTTCACTTCTCCCAGATCACTTACAAAAGCTAGTGTTTTCAGAGACGGATCCCTCGTGTTCTTCTTATTAAATATAAAGGGATAAAGACATCGATGGGGCATCTAAGTCTTTCACAAAAGCCGATGATTGTGAAAAAACACAATGAGTGACTTCCAAGGGGGAAAAGGCAAAAGGAACAATAAGTCGCTCCAAATCTGGGGTCTCCTTGGTATATTGTGCCTCTGGGCACTCCCAGCCCAGCTGGCTTCCTTTGTGTGAGGCTCAGGGAGACTTTCTGTCCACAGGGAGGTCGTGACTCCAAGGTACTGCCCTCAAGCCGGGAGGAAACAGCATCTCTGACTGCTGACCAAGCTACTCGGTTCCATTAGCCACTTAAGCAAAAGCAGAAACCTGCACTAGAATACACTCGCACCTATGAAATTGTCTTAATCCCTTTCAGACACAAAGCCAACACTTGGAGGAAGAAATACATTTACAACCCATCCTGGCTCTACTAACAAGATGCTAATCACCATGCAATTAAAATTAACTTTTATAATTTTAGATTAGCCATGTAAGTTTTGTTCAAGATTTAACAAGGTAGCTAGGCACATGGAAAGATTAAAAAACATAAAATTGATTGTTCTGCATGGAAAATCCTATTTAATTAGACTCGGGGATTCCCTAGCTATGTTCACATACAAAATCTTAGCTGAATATATTAGACAACAATCATTAGATCCAATGGCCGATATCATCAATAATTCCATTCAATCTGATTTTTATTCTTTGCCCGCTATTTTCTGCCTGCACAGATAAATGCTAGACAATCGCACAAAACCAGTCTAGATAATTAGGAGTTTTCTCAATGAGATGCTAATTGGTTTAATCATCATCAAGTGAGTGCACAAAAACAAGCATAAAAACAGCCCTTCTGCAAGGAGTGGAAACAACAAATTCACAACTTGGCGGCCCAAGCTGCCAGGCAGGTGGGCCTCCGGGGACAGATGGCAGGGAAGCCAGTCGAAAAACTGTGCTCCTCCCGGAGACATCATAGTGTAAGCTGTTTTGCTTTTTAATATTCAAATGACTAAATCCTATAACATGTAAAATCATTCTGATTTCTAAAAATCGGTTAATGATTCATTCTAACATCTTCCACAACAATTATGAAAAATGTGGCATCCTCTCTGGCAGAGTTTCTAAGGCCAGCTCTCTAAGCAGGGACTCAGTCAGCTTCTCATGGATGGATTCCTTCTGTGTTCTCCCACAGGTTTCACTCCTTGGCTAGATGTCCTGCATGTGCGTTCCTTCATGGCTGCTCTGGAGCTCTGCCCAGGAATGAGCCCCAGGAATGCAGGCCTCATGGGAACCGCAGGCTTTCAACTTAAGTTGTTAGGGGGAAAGGATGTCCTGAATGAACTTTACAGATATAGGTTTTGTGGACTCCACCCCTGCTCCAGACACCGAAACTAGGAATCCCAGCATCACCAAAGGAGGACTGCTAGGACCTGAGGGCAGAGTTAAGCAGCCATTTTGGGTCTGGGGTATAAAACCCGACATGTTGGGCTGAGGGAGGCACATGGAGCAGAGAGACATGTGAAGAAACTGCGCTTGCTTCTTCTTGGTCCTGGACTAGTTGAAACAGATGTGGGTGAGAGACCTGTGGGGAGGTTCACTGTAGCAGCATTTATCTTGATTTTGATGTTGCTCTTTTCCTCCCCGACTTGTCTGGCTATTTCTGACCCTTTTCTATGGATCCGGGCCAGAAGGTGCTTTAGACTGTGGCGGGATTTCAGGCCTTGCTTTGGGCCCATCTCTTTTGGGTGGACTTTTACCCACGAGGGGATGGGTCACTTCAGGTGATTGATTTAGAAATTATCTTCTTTGCCTTCCTTACCGTAAACTTACTGTATTAAATTTCCTTTTCATTCAAGTCTTATATGTTTTGTCTTGATGCAGCGGATGGCAGAACCTGTTTAGAGTGGGCAAGTTTGGGGGCTTAGGGGTGTCTCTCTCTCCCTGCACTGTGACAAAAATGACAATTCACAGCACCAGTTTCTCCCACACGCAAGACCTTTCAGACATGAAGACGACACTGCAGGAGCAATGTACATAACTCACCAATTCTTTCCTGGCTCTACCAACAAGAAATTCACTTCAGAACACCAAACACCATGTTATTTAAATGAGCCTTTACAGTCTTGGCTTTGCTACACTTAAGATGGCCTTTCGAGACTTTCTACACAGCAAGAGTCAGGGGAAACGGATGATGTGTCCAGGCTACAGGAGACAAAATGGCGGCCGGGCACCACCTACCGTTGCAGCAAATGGGTCAAAGGAGTGTGGGGCCTGGGTGAGATTCTCACCTCCCTGTTCAAACCATTGCCTGTATTAAAGTTTGGCAGTTTCTTCTTTTAATTGTGTCGTTTTTTTTTTATTAAGGTACTGTTGGCGTACAGTACCGTACATGATTTAGGGGTAGAAGTTCACGCCTCTTCAGATTCCGTGTTACCACATACAGCTACCACCAGAGCGCTCAGAGCTCAAACTGCTTTGGGACTCCTCCCTCCTGCGCACAAACCCTGCCCCTCTCGCTCCCCTCTGGTAGTCTCAGAGTTTCGGAGGGTTTGTTTTAGTTTAGTTGTCTGTTTCTTTATAGTCCACATAGTGAAATAATCCACATTTGACTTCCTCCTTCTCATTTATTTCTTTGGCATAATCCCCGAAGGTTTTTTTTTTTTTTTTTAATGCTTTTGAAATTAGGAACTATTTAAAATTTTGAAAGGGACCAAAATACAAATATTCTTTTTTTTCCTACAGCCATACAAGAGAGAAATGGTTGTAGAAAATGAAATTGGACTTTTTTTTTCCTGGTTACTTTTTAATCTTTCTATAATTTTCAGTTTCCATATTTATAACGCGTCAAGGCCCTAATTGTTGAGGACAGAACTTTCTTGTTTTATTATATCATTCATGACTTCCTTCAGGAATAGGTGAATATTTCTGACACAATATTTCTGATATATATATATAGTTTTTAAAGATTTATTTATTTATTCATACAGAACTGGGATACAGGTCAGAGATGCAGAGGGTGAGAGGATTCACCAGAGACAGAGTGGGGAGCAGAACAGACAGATCGACGAAGTACACTGCTGAGGGGAGCTTCAGGTGAGACAAGAAAGGTCTCCTGACACTCCCTGCCTGGGATCGAACTCAGGCTACAGTAGCTGTAGATAGATTGCTTGAAAGCGCTGAGAATTTAATCCCTGCTGCACCACCAGGAAAGCCCTATTTTTTTTTTTTTTAAAGATTTATTTATTCACACAGAACTGGGTTACAGGCCAGAGATGTGGAGGGTGAGAGGCTTCACCAGAGACAGAGTGGGGAGCAGAACAGACAGATCGATGAAGTACACTGCTGAGGGGAGCAGCAGGCGGGTCAGGAGAGGTCTGCCGCGCCATGTGGATCTCCTCCGGGGCAGGCGGGAATCGAACTCATGAGGAAGTGGTTTAAGCTTCTTTGTGTTGTGCTTTAACCCACTGCGCCACCAGGGAGGGCCTATTTCTGATATATTTTAATGACATGAAGACCTGTTTGTTTCTTGTGAAGGGCTTCCTGTCAACAAGGCACACTTCCTCCTCCGTCACCACTGCACACGCCCACGAGACCCTCAGAAACTGGGGTCACTTGTCACAACCCATTCGTTTAACCAGCCTCACATTCTTTCTCCTGTTCTCCTACATACCCCTGTCAAGAGCAACCTTTGAGCCTCCCTGGTGGCCCAAGGGGTTAAGTCTCAGCACTATGCAGCTATGAGCTGCCTCTGCAGCAAGTTTGATGCCTGTCTAAAGAGCGGAGCCATATGGCGCAGCAGACCTCTCCGGTCTTGTCTGCCGCTTCTCTTAGTAGTGTATTTCGATCAATCAACCTGTTCTGGCCCCACTCTGGTGAATCTGCTCTCTCCCCACCCCACCTTTAGCCTTCCCCCCAGCTCTTGTATGCATAAATTAAATAAAATAAAAGAGAGCAATCATTGAATTGGCAAGCCAGTGGTTTCCTTCCTTGACGTAAGTTTGAAATAAAAATTGAAAATATGCTCATAACCTTACTATCAAGGGGGAAAAAATAACTTCAAAGGGAGCAAAGAGTAAAAATGAAACTCTTCTACACAGAAGAATGCCAGATGCAGGAATGTAGGAAGATGGATGAGAACTGTCAGCATTTTGCAACCCCTGGTGTGATGCAGGCCAAGATCATCCATAGATGCTCAAACACCATTTGCCATAGAATAATTGGCATCAAGCACTGGGAGAGCAGACCTTTCTAAGGAAGGGCACTGAGGGATGTCAATCAAACTGCCAACTAGGCATTACCTATAATGGACAACCAGGTAGCTTCAGGTGATGTACTACGAAGTACTCCACACATCACCTAGGCATGTCCTTGCTGAATGTCCAGCCTGAATCTACTCAAGCAAACAAAATTAGACAAACCTAATATGGGAGACAAGAAAACTGACCAGGCCCTGTCTAATCAAAAATAAATGCCATGAAGAACAATGAAGGCAGGAAAGGTGTTTTTTCTGAAGACCAAAAGAAACGTAACAATGCAATCTTATGTGGAACCTCAACTAAATCCCAGATCCAACTTTTTTTTAAAATGCAGGTAATAAAATAAAGAATAACAATATTATACAAAAGGAAAAACAGAAAAAGCACTAGCAAACCATCTCCATGGTGTTCTTTAAAGGGGCCAAACTTTTAGGTTGTATTAATTGATTTATTTTTTTAAAGATTGATTTATTTATGCATACAAGAATTGGGGTACAGGCCACAGGTGCAGGGGGGTGAGAGAATTCACCAATGACAGAGGCAGGTGGACTGAAATTGAGATAACACT